GCCCCTGGCGCTTTTTATTTCTCATCTCCTGGCAATCTGCACCCCACTTGCTCTTAGCCCCTCCTGCAAGCTACTGTACTGGCAAATAAACTCAGTTGCTGCCTATTTGATAATACTAATAAGCTTACACTAGAAATTGGCACATGCTATAGGAATTCGTTCCAGCTTGAACCAGTTGCACACCTGAAGCAATCTCCTGAAAGGATGCCCAAAAAAGTCCTCTGAGATTGACAGTCGATCACATTACATTGAATGCTAGAACTGCTTCAGTCCCAAAGCTTGTTTTCTCATCTGACTTCAGAGGTGGTCTGTTCTCTGAGGCAGTCTATCAGAAGGCAAGGCAATTGTCTTTGACATCTCTTTGGGAGGTCACGTTTTATGGCTCAGCACGGGACCCATGATGGTCCTGGACCAGAAATAAATTTTCAAATTAGCACCACAGCTATGAATTCAACAGCTTAGGCTTGTCAGGCTAATATGCCAGCGTGGAGTCTCTCCAAAGTGCGAGAGCAGCCGAATTCAGATGGAACAAATTCATGCAAAATCTACACTGGTTTCAAGCAGGCGTCTGCTCCCTACCAAGCAGAAACAGAATCCACAAGGTGGGGGGGAATGGAAAGGGATCAGTGCTTTACACGTGGAGAGGATTTTCTAGGTCAGTGGTTCTCAACCTTTTTAATGCCACGACCCCCAACCGGTGGTAAGTCGAGGACTACTCAACCGGTCATAAGTCTAGGACTACTCCACTGGTGCAGCACCGTTTGCAGAATGGGACTTTTGGTGGGCTCAGCAGGGCAGAGACCGCCTGGACAATACCTATTGGCTTTTGAAAGCCAGTAGAATTAGACTCTATTCAAAAGAGTCTATTCTATTGGCTTTCAAAAGCCAATAGAATAAAAGGGAGTAGCACAGCTAAGGAAAAGGGGGGAAAAATGGCGGACTGCATTGTTTGGCGACCCCTGTGAAATGGTCGTTCGACCCCAAATGGGGTCCCGACCCACAGGTTGAGAACCACTGTTCTAGGTGTTGAGTTAATATTCACTTTAGTCAATATAGGATTGAGGATATCCACAGTTGGGATAACCATTCAGTCTTAAACTCACGTGTTTTTATTCCGCCTAGTCTAGGCTGCTGTAAAGACAACGTGAAGTAGGATAATTTGTTCACTTTGGGGAAAAGATAGGTCACAAATAAGGATCTGAAAGTGAGGAATAACGTTATTTGGTTTCTTCTGAACTGTACTTTGCTTTTGATCTAGGTAGCCCGGTCCATGGTGCATTTGGGGTATTTTGTATCTGGTTTCACGTGCAGGTTATTTTGCATAGATCTTGTTTTAAAAGCCTTTTCAAGAAAAGAGGGAAAACTATTCACAAGCCACAATTTCTGCGGACAGATAGCAGTGTAAGCAACATGCAAAGGACACTGAGTACATGTTAGCTGGCTCACTATAGTTAAGAGTCTTTTCCCAGCTTTCCTTTATAGTCTCAGAAATAATGTTAGAGCTTCCCTGATTTGGGTATTTTTTTTAAAAAAATTGCATTTATCTCACCCTTGGATTTTGAAGCTTTTCATATTGAAAAGGTCTTTCTTTTGCAAGGATTTTTCTTCTTCCTTTCAGATACAGATTTGACGTTGGTCATTGGTGCTAACGATACCGTGAACTCTGCAGCACAAGAAGATCCCAACTCCATTATAGCTGGCATGCCTGTATTGGAAGTTTGGAAATCTAAACAAGTAAGAGACAACAAGAAACTGAGAACACACGGTTGTGATGGCTTCTTCATTAGAGCAAAGAGTACCTAACATGCAACGTAAAAAGAAAGGGGTCTTTGTCCCCAAATACGAAAATGTTGCCTTCACTACAGTACAGGGTATTATTATGATACTTGTTTTGATGTCATCAAATCCTCCAATTGACACAAGGTCAAATTTCTCTGGAAGAAGGAATTACTCTAGAGTCTAAGGGGGCAGCTCAACAGAAAGTCTGCAAGTTTGCTAGGATGCTATCTTGGCAGTAGAGTCAACAGTCATGTTGGCTGGGAAATGAGAGCTGAACTCAAAGACCTCAGAAAAACATCAACTTGGAAAGTAAGATGAGGATATTTGATTAGACAATAATCTAAATGAGGATGTTCTGCTATCTGTTGTTGGAGAATCTGGAGAGCTCTCTAGAAGATTTGCCAGTATAATAAGTAAGGTTTTGCATTTGTCAGCAGTGCATTGATCCACCATATGTCCTTATGACTATATGGTGACGGTCTTTTGCTAAGCAGTAGGATCTGAAATATTGCAATTTTAGAATTTAAGTTATGAGGAAGAATTGAGGGGGGGGGAATAGACTTAATCACGAAAGAAGATGATTGATGGGGTATAGGAGAGTTGGAAGGTGTAGGTGAAGACTTGTTTTTCATTATCCCAGAACAATGTAGTTAAATCACAGGAAGGCAGGTTCAAGTTGAATTAGAGGGAAAAAAATCCAGTATAAAGTCCTAATGGTAAGAGCAGTTCAACCCTGGAACCAATTACCAAAGTCATCTGCTTGGAATGATTTGACATTAATTTAATTCAATTCAATTTAATTCCTGCCCTGGCAGGAGTTTGGACTCAGCCTGATAGTCTCTTCCAACTTTTTATGATTTTATAATATTATATGTGAATTTTCTGCTTCATTCTTACCCCAGTGAAAAATCTACCGACTTCGGTTAAAAGTCTTTTCTGCATAGTCTTGCAGTGGTGCTGGTGTAAAACCGCCTTAGAAGATTTAACCGATTTTTATACTGCATGCTTCTTTTCTTAAGAAGGCAGACTATATTTTTAATTAGCTTTTTTTGAATAAAGGCAAGAAATAGTTGAACTCACTCTTATTATGTCCTTTGGTTTCTCCACCAGGTCATTGTCATGAAGCGCACCCTGGGAGTTGGATACGCTGCAGTCGACAATCCCATTTTTTACAAGCCAAACACTTCGATGTTGCTTGGAGACGCAAAAAAAACCTGTGATGCTTTACAAGCCAAAATTCGAGATTCTTATAGCCATTAGTGTTTCCAGTCTTTCTAAGGCATCGTCCAGTGATAAAAGCGTTATTATGCACCTTTTAATTTGATTGTGTTGATTGAAGACCTTGAAATAGACGGAACCTTTAACTGGTTGGTGCCCATTATTTGCATCCTTTGAAAATGGACATAATCTTTTATGTATATACATTGTCAGAAAGATCAATAGGAGAATCTAACTCATGTGAGAAGTGAGTGGTTTCTGTGTCTTTATACTGGGTGAAAATTCCATCGATCCATCCTTCTATCCATCCTATAATCAACTTGTTTTTCTAACGTTGCTATGACATTTTCAACTCCCACAATAAGAGACAACTAATAATTCCTGGGCCAGATGTGGTCCTGTGGAGAGGACATTCCGTCACCAAAGAGAAAGATCTTGTGGAGGAAGTGGTGGCTATAGATCTAGGTCTGTCTGTTCTAGGGTGCAATAATGATAGCTTGTGAAGAAATAAATGGCGGGATGGTCAATCAAAGGACAGCAACGGATGGGCTTGGAGAAGAGAGATTTGGGAAGTGAGAGTTGAAGAAGGTCTGAGGTAAGCTTCAGAGTGTAAGACTGGTAATACTTCTGTTAGGAAGACAGGTTAGGAATAATATTAAGATGGAGTTAGGCTAGTACTGATGGGATAAAAGCAATTTGTCGTAACAAGTGTACCTGGATCAAAATCATATTATGAAGGGTTTTTAAAAAAATAAATCCTTTGTTCCTATGTTAACCATGGATCTATGCCAGTGGTTCTCAACCTTTTTAATGCCGCAACCCCCAACCGGTCGTAAGTTGAGGACTACTCAACCGGTCGTAAGTCGAGGACTACTCAACTGGTGCAGCATCATTTGCAGAATGGGACTTTTGGCGGGCTCAGCAGGGCAGAGACAGCCTGGACAATTCCTATTGCTTTTGAAAGCCAATAGAATTAGACTCTATTCAAGAGAGTCTATTCTATTGGCTTTCAAAAGCCAATAGAATAAAAGGGAGTAGCACAGCTAAGGAAAAGGGGGAAAAATGGCGGACTGCGTTGTTTGGCGACCCCCGTGAAATGGTCGTTCGACCCCAAATGGGGTCCCGACCCACAGGCTGAGAACCACTGATCTATGCTGTCCTACAGCAAATTTTCCCCACTTGATAGTATCACCTTGCAGGTTTGAAGAATTTACAGAGCCGTGGGAAAAGAAGATTAACAACATAAAACAGATAACAAGCAGATTGTGGGACACAACCTGGTCTGCAGTTTGGCATTGCTTTTCAGCATAAACACTGACTTCTGAAGTGAGCAAGGCATGGTATGAATCCAGAGAAGTAAGGACCCCTCATTTCAACCCTGAAATAGTCTCCTTTATGGGAAATTAGGAAAATCTCAAAAGCCGCTGGGTGAATTAAACTTACAGATTTAATGGCATGTCTATCCTGGGCTAGGCATCAAATCTCTCTTCTCTTTCTCCTTTCCTTTCCAATTGGCAAAGCACAAACTCTTGGCATCCCATGTGACTATTCCTATCTGTACATCCGAATAGGCTGTTCCGAATATCAGAATTTGATTGGTGCTGGGGTTTAAAACAAAAACCCTAAAATCTATTCAACGTTTGTTTATTACATAAACAGTTTCTCTGACTCTACTTCTAAATAATATACAAATGTTTCGAGGAAATAAGATCCGGAAGACACTGTGAATGTCTTTCGGAGTTAGATTATCGTTAACACATGGAGGAAGATGTCATTTTGCGATAGGAGTGGAAATGTTCCCCGATAAGTATAATCCAGCATTTTTTTTTAAAAAAAGCAACTTTGGCAGAAGAATTCAAAGTGTCCTTGTTTAGCAACTCCAAGATGAAACTCTCAGGAAAAACCAAAATGCAAATAATGGAAGTGGCCTTCATGATTGCAAAGCCATGATGCCCTTCTCTTGACGGTAGAAATAAGTAATAATATAACTAAGGACAATAAAAGCATTTTCACTTTTTTGGTTTATTAAACAGATGACTCTGAAGGATATTTATCATTTGAATCATTACATATGCAGCTTTGTAGAACATGTATGATTTAAGATGCACGATGCATCCTCCAATAAGCTTTATTGTAGCTTCTATGCATGTTTGATTGCAGCTATGTTTATACACTGGAGTGAGAAAGGAGTGTGTATTCTGCCTTGAACTTCTGAAATTGTTATTTTGCTGCAGGTCCCAATCTTAGGAGCAAATGATATGCTCCTGTGCAAAGAAAGCATTAAGGACCAATCCCTATGCTGGCTTCCATAAATAAAGTAGCAATTTAGAAAGGACTGTAATATCTACCAGTATTAAGCAAGATAACTAAAGGTATCTTCTAGACCTCGCAGATAAGCCATTTGCGAGCTTTAATCAAGACTGCCAATTTTTGATGGTACAAGTTTCACTTTTTTAATATTAAGCATAACAGGTGTGTTAATTTTCCATAAATTGTATTGTGTTCATTAAAAAAAAATTCACAAAAAGTAAGGAAATGTTAGTCCTGTCCCTTATAGGTTGGGAAACACCCTTCCCCACCCTCCAGAAACTGATCTGAGAAATATGACCTTTTTCTGAAGCGTGTATGCAGCAAAAGAAAGCACTACATAAAACAAGGCTGGCTAGGGAATTCTGGGAGTTGAAGTTCACAGGTCTTAAACTAGCCAAGGTTGGACACCCCTGTTTTAGAAGGAAACCTTGGTTCAGACCTATAAGCAATCAGTAGTGGAACATATTTAAGCAATTTGGCAATTTAATTCAGTCCTAATCGTGTTCACTGTTAGCATTGAGCTGAATATTTTAGCCTGGCTTCCCTTTGGAGGTGGAATTGGGAGGTGAAATGAAGTAATTCTAACAATTTTTAATAGGTAGTAAAATCACCCAGAGTCTTCCTTGATACTCCAGAGAGTAACCCTGCATAATGAAACTAACAAATGAAGTTTCTGCTAACTTTAAATACAAAATTCAAGCTGGTAATTGTATTGTTCAACAAATTTAAAAAAAAAATCTATTTAGATGTCACAAGTCCAGCTTTGTTTTGGATAGTCTTCCCTTAACAGTTGTACGTTTTGTCTGTAGAAGTTTGGATTTAGTTTAGATTTAGAAGACAGCAACTATAAGCCTTGTAAATCAATTTCAGTCATTCGAATCTTAATTAAAGGACTGATTTTAAAGGGTAATGGATCACCGTTCCTTTTGGGACATTTGCATGAGGAACGCTTCACTTTTTCCCTGCAGAGTCCTTGGCTTTCCTGATCAGCCTGTACATAAATGAGAAGAAGAAAAGCAAATTGTCGTATTGTCCGTCATATTTTTCTTTTAAGACCTCCTTGTGATAGTCTACTAGAAAGTAATAAATCGCTTCAATGGTAGAGAGGTAAGTTTCTGGTTTTCCTTTCTGATGGCGCCAAAAGGAGGTTTTCCTAGATTTCAGTTCGATTTGTAGCAACCCTGCAGAGTGAAAAAAACAAAGACGATCATGTAGGCATTTAATTACACAAAAGAATGGGAAAAAAAAAACTACTTGTGGCTAATTGCTAACAGGTTTCTCCAAAGCATTACGCACAAGGATAGGCTTAAGACATATTAGTCAGATTTATACAGTAATTTCCATTATATTTTCAAAATATGATTAGATAAGTCATCTCTTTTCTCTCTTTCCTGAAATGTTACAGTATCTGAGTGGAGTACAAAAAATGTTCGATACAGCGTTGCAGTGTACTAGTTTTAGAAAAGCAAATCTTTTGGAAGAAAAATAAGAGTAGAGAGGAGGTATTTATTCCTGGTAACAGCTCTCTATTATACCTAGAACAGTGATGGCGAGGCTTTTAGAGACCGAGTGCCCAAAAACTGCCCCCCCACCCCCGTCCCCGCTCTGCCCTACCCACTGGGCCACCCACCACCTCCACGGCCCGCCACAGATCACCCAGGCAGCCCTGCAGTGCCATGGTGGCCATGCCCTCCGCCCATGCCCCGCAGCATCATCTGCGCGCAACGGGGCGCAAGAGCGGAGTCTTGTCCCCACTGCCCAGCTACCATGTCCTTGGCTTCGCTGCTTTGTGTAGGCCGCACCCAGGGGCAACTCTCCTCCAGGGGGGGCTGCTGGTGAGGAGGGGGCTGTGGGAGGAGGCGTGGCTGAGAGACGGTGCGTGTACCCACAGAGAGGGCTCTTGAGTGCCGCCTCTGGCACCCGTGCCATAGGTTCGCCACCACTGACCTAGAACAATTCCCAAGATTCGTTTCTATTCATAAAAACAATACCTTGAAGCCGCGCATCTGTGATTATCTTGTTTGTTTGATTCCATGTGCTGTCGATAAATACAATTTTTTTCAGTGCATTTCCGCTCTTGGGCAATTTATCTTCACTCATGATGCTATTGTGGCTTGGGTCCCATTTTGCAGACTTGGGTGCTGGTTCTGCTAATAAGCCCTTGGTGTCCATCTTACATTTTGCTTGCAAAGAGAGAGGAATGTTGCTTATTGAAATTGAATTAGGTCCAGGAAAAATAAGTGCAATCTAAAAAATGGGGCGAAAAAACCTTCATGAGATCTAATCTCAGCCACAAGGCAACCCTTATTTTCCCAAGTGAATCTGCTTTAAAATTGTGCTTCCACCCGTATTTATGAAAATACAGTCTGGGTAACATTTACTAACACCAGCGTTTAAGCAAATATGAGAAAATGTTAAAACCCTGCAAACTAACCAAAGAGAGAAGCAACCTACAACTAAGGAGAAACTTCCTGACAGTGAGAACAATTAATCAGTGGAACAACCTGCCTCCAGAAGCTCTGAATGCTCCAACACTGGAAGTCTTTAAGAAGAGACTGGACAGCCATTTGTCCGAAATGGTATAGGGTTTCCTGCCGGAGCAGGGTGTTGGACTAGATGACCTCCAAGGTCCCTTCCAATATTATTATTATGGAACATCGCACAGTCAGCCAGATGTTCAGACTGGATTTGGCATTTTGTCTACCTATCGAGTCCTTACCCAGGACCTGGGATAGGCAGATGTGGATATTTGATGGTATTACAGATATCGTCGCAGGATGGAAGCAGTTCCTAATAAGGCCGCCTTTTGCAATTATTGCAAAATAATTTTTAAATTATTAAAATAATTATTATTGCATAATAATAATAATAATAATAATATGGCAGTGAAAAACAAAAGGTTTTCCTACGATGCTACATATAAACAGACTCTTACTTCATGTTGCATTTCTTCATAGTCGGGAATACACGGATATGTATAAATGGTAACATCTTCAGAGGCCAGAAGCTTGGCGTGTACAGCTGTACTTTTACCATCCGTTTCATTGGGATGCTTAATTATATCAATCTTCAAGGGAAGCTTAAACAAAGAACCCAGAAAGTGTGTCAAAAAGACACCCCAAATTCAACCATAAATATATAAATTTGCTCAACCGTGCATTCGACTCTGGATATCGAAGCATAATACATGATTTGCACTGGTTACAATTGCAATTTTCAGCAAAATAAACAGCGGGAAAGAACAGAGATATCATGAAACTGAATAATATAATTAAAAAGAATTATATTACTTAAATGTGAATTACTTAAATCAAAGGCTGCCTTTGGTTAGACATCTTTTCCATCATCTTGTACAGCAAGGGTGGGGAATTATGGCCTCTTTAGGTCCTGTGGACTTCAAGTCCCAGAATTCCTGAACCAGCATGTTGTAAATGTGTGCTGACCCCAGGGATGCTGCAACAGCTGCAACTTAGTTAAGCCCTGAAAAACATGGTTGGCTCAGGAATTCTGGGAGTCGAAGTCCACAGGTCATAAAGGGGCCATACCAGTCGTTCCCCACCCATACTACAGAGATGCCAAGATTTGGGCAGGAATCTTGGCTAGGAAAGATATCCAAGTAGCACTGGGCTACTGTGACCTGTTGTTCTTTCACTACAGCAGCTTTATGGTTATGGGACTTATTATGAAGCTTGGCACAAAAGACAAGATTAGGTTAAATTCCACCTTTATCTATTTCATCTAGTAAAATTACTTGCTGGGAAATTTGACATAAAATGACCAATGTGACCTTCCCCTCCTCAGATCCCCTGTACTAACCTTCACAATAGGAATATCTTCAACAGGGACAGTTTCAACTGGAACATAACATGAATAGCAGTAGAACATCCTCGAGCTGTGACATCTGGGGCATTTTGATCTTCCTTGTTTTTGGGCTCTCTCAAGAACAGCTTGAGATGTCAGACACAAGTTGTCAAATGGGGTTTCTTGTAACATGGATGCAGCCGGCGTGCCTTGATTTAGCAAACACTCAGCATTTCTCTTCATTTCCTGGTTTATCTTGGTCTGCTTTTTTAATGGAAGATGAATTTAATGATATATTTCAGATGAATGATATCCTTGGAACTGTTAAAGATAAATAATGCAAGTACAGTTTTCAAGTATAATTTCAGGGGAGTATTCTTAGAATAGAAATCTTGATGAATGAGATTAAGCATAATCAGACTAGAGAAAACTGTGTTCTCCAGGAGCCCTGAACGTAAATGGTTGGAGGGCTGAAATTTAAAATGTGTGTTTGTGAGAGAAACAGAGAGAGAAGAAGAAGGAGAGAGAGAGAGAGAGAGAGAGAGAGAGAGAGAGAGAGAGAGAGAGGTCTCCTAAACAACAGAGACATGTAGACGGAATGTTTTCCCAACATGACTGGATCTAACCCAAGGACTGTACAACTGATCTTTTCTCTACATCTGCTCTAGGTTAAGTGTAAGAATCAGTTTAATGTGAAGCTTAACAACATAAAGTTCAGGGTTTTCTTATCTCTGGTATTTCAGGATCTTAGTAATACTATTCATTAATAGAGACTTAACTTGTATGACAGGCAGTTTGTTATTTATTTGGCATGCATAACATGCTTTATCAGATTAAGGATATAGAATATATAGAATATAATGGCATGGAGTAGTTGCTCGTTTCCTTGATTCAACTGCCAATCTTTTGCAGTTTATAAAATAACCATTACTTCTAAAATGATACTTAATAAAGGGATAATAACGTATTTGTGGCTTTTGTGTAACAAGCCCCATTTCTGTTTGCAGCATCAGCTCTTTCTTCTTGGAATGAGAAAATTCTCATAGTTTAATGGAGAAAGCTTGGCTGGTAGGTGAAGAAAATTGTTTAGGTTTGGACAGAATTTTCTAACCACACAGATTCCTTTGCTGAAGAGCGAGCAGGAAATTAATTAATCTGTTATGCATTCCTGGCCTACAGATCAAGCCACCTTATATTAAATAACTAGTGACAGGTTTCCTTGACATGGCAGGGAAAAATGTTGCTGACAGAGAAAAGGGTAAATTTTATCTATGATTTCCAGAACCATAAAAATCAAACAAATAAGAATGTGCATTTTGCTAACTTGAAGTAAGGCATGTTTTTATACAACTGAATAGTTTAACCCAAGTATCAGTCAATAATCCTAGTCCTGGAGAGAACCAAATTTAACCATTAGTCAATTGCAAAAGGTGGCCTTACTAGGAACTGCTTCTATCTTGCGACGATATCTGTAATACCATCAAACATCCACATCTGCCTATCCCAGGTCCTGGGTAAGGACTCGATAGGTAGACAAAATGCCAAATCCAGTCTGAACATCTGGCTGACTGTGCGATGACTGTGCGATGATCCATAATAATAATAATAAAGTTGGAAGGGACCTTGGAGGTCTTCTAGTCCAACCCCCTGCTCAGGCAGGAAACCCTATACCATTTCAGACAAATGGTTGTCCAGTCTCTTCTTAAAAACTTCCAGTGTTGGAGCATTCACCACTTCTGGAGGCAGGTTGTTCCACAGGCTAATTGTTCTAACTGTCAGGAAGTTTCTCCTTAGTTCCAGGTTGCTTCTCTCCTTGATCAGTTTCCATCTGTTATTTCTTGTCCTGCCTTCAGGTGCTTTGGAGAATAGCTTGACTCCCTCTTCTTTGGGGCAGCCCCTGAGAGCTTCTTTTCGACAATCACGCTGCTTAGGAACCACCATGACCACCCCGCCGCACCTCTCCAAACACTACTACCCTGGGAAGTTGCAGCAACCTCGAGAGAGCCCCCGGAGACCCCACAGCTGGTTTTTGCAAGTTAGTAAACCGTGCACAGGGCTGGGGGTTGCTGCCGCAGCCTCCCGATCTCTCCCCGAGCCCAAAGCGCGCTTCTCGCGCCCATGCCCAAACGAAACCTACCGCCATCTTGCACAGCAATGCCCACGGACTCCTCGGCGATTGGGAGCGGGTGTGTGTGTGTGGGGGGGGGTGAGAACTATTGCCAAGCACGCTTCCCACGAGCCTCGCGTGTCTTCTTCCCCCTGAGGACAGGCGCGTGGGGACGGCGGCCGTCGCGCGCGCGGCGGAACGTCAGCGCCGCGGGTCCCGGGGGAAGCCCGGAAGGATCGAACGTGACGGACCGAGGGGGGCGGAGACGGGCGGTTGCCAGGGCGCCTTAGCAACGCGGAGAGAAGGTCCGTTGGAGGGGCGGGGCCTGCTGCTGCGGCCGCTGCCCGGGAGGGTCCGGGCTGGCGAGGGCGGGAGGCGGCTGCCCTGGTGGGAAATGGGCGAGCGGGGTCGCGTGCTGACCCTCTCCTCCTACCGGCGCTCTTTCTCCAAGGTCGGCGGCGTAAATCCGAGGCTGCCCTTCCCCTCCGCAAGGAGGGACGACGGGCAACACGTGGCTCGCGTTGGGGGCTCTCGACAGAGGCTGGAAGGACCTGGGAGCCAAGACTGCGAGGCTCAGTCTGCAAAGCCATGAATTCGTTTTTTTGTTTTTTCTTTTTTAGATAGTGTTGTACCTTAAACGGCTTGGCCTCCAGAGGTTGTGGGTGCTCCATCACACTGGAGGTTTTTCAAGAAGAGACTGGACGGCCATTTGTCCGGCATTATAGAGGGTCTCCGGCTTGTGCAGAGGGTTGGACTAGATGACCTCCAAGGCCCCTTTCCACCCTCTCACTCTGTAATTCTGTTAATCAGTAGAATGGCTTACTACAGGGCTTTTCTACCTTTTCACCCATTGTACCACTTTTAGGATATGGCAGTATCCGAGTACCACCTGTCGCCTAGCAAGGTGTCAAAAACTTGATGACCCCCCCAAAAAAAGGGAAAAAAGTGATAAAGTACAGGTAGTCCTTGATTTACAACAATTTGCTTAGTGACTGTTCAAAGTTACAATGGGACTGAAAAAAGTGCCCCCCAAGCCACAGCCAAGCAAGACACCTGCCTGCCCACCTGGTGACGCTTTTCCTCTTGTCCGAGGTTTTCATTGTTGTGAGCATTTCTGTTGAGGATTGGCAGTGGGGGTGGGGTGGGGTGTTTGGTTTTTATTCCCCCCCCCCCGTCTGCTGGGTGGTTGCAGCAGGTTTTGGTCACTTCGCATGACCCTGGGACACTGTGACCTTCATAAATATGAATCAGTTGCCAAGCATCTGAATGTAAATCACAAGACCCTGGAGAGGCTGCAACATTCCAGCTGATCGGCGCTTCTTCTGGGCTCAGCAGAACCACCAGGATCAGCCCCGAGCTCCAGCTGGAGCCTGGCACTGATCCTGGCACTTCTGCTGAGCCCTGACAGCCCTGCAGCTCCAGCCATCTCTCGCTCAGACTTGTGCAGTGCTGCCACCGGTTCAGCTCATTCCCCTCCCCCACTACCACTTTTCTAGGATGGTAGTGTACCACCTGTCAGGTGCCAATGTACCCCAGGTGGTACCCATACCACTGGTTGAAAAGCCCTGGCTTACTACCTTCAGAAAGCTGTGGATGCTCCATTGCTGGAAGTTTTCAAGAAGAGACTGAATGGTCACTTGTCTGGAATAATGTGGGGTTGGACTAGAAGATCTCCAAGGCCCCTTCCAACTCTTATTCTGTATTCTAAAGGGACTTGGAGGCTCTTAGATGGATACGTGTTTTCCCTTTTAATCCTGAAGGCACGTTGCCATGCTTGGCAGGGGTACTGTTTTCTAAGTCTGCACATGACCCTGAAACACAGCAATGTAGAGGTTTCCGAACTTCAGTCCATTGTTCTCCCTCATGAAAGTTTGATTGTTGGCCCCTCAAAACATTTATTACAAGAAAATAATTTAATAAATACTACTTTAATAGTACCACAAATAACAACGACAAGGTCAATTCCTTGAATAGTCCAATTCCTGAAGGTCAAAACACTGCTTTGGAGAAGTGCCAAAGAAAACATGTTTGCATTGCAGACTAAGATGCACACTAACCAAGTTTAGTTTGTGGTGCAGGTACAGCCCCTAGATTTTTACCTGAATTAATGAAGCATGTTGTGTGAACACAACCATAGTGAGAGTGAGCTATCTCACCATTTGCTATGGGATGTTTATTTATTTATTGCTCTCCCAGATACCTGAAGGAAAAACAAACAGCCGATTAGAAACAAGTTGTTTGTTGATATGAAGAATTAAAGTTACAAGTGTAACTTGTTCAGTGTCAGTAAAATAATAGCATATCCCTCAAATGAAGTCAACCAACTGGCTGATTCTATTGAATCAGAATGCTCAATTAGGATGATGGTGGCGCTGAAAGATATGGATCTATTTTTTTAAAAAAAATGAGAAGTTTTTAAAATAACATTGCTGACCTTTTTTCCTGTTTCAGAAATAACAAATGTCCTGTGTTCACATATTTATCTTAGCCATGGTATGCTCAGTATGTCTGGGCAAAATGTCATTATGTACTTATACTATGCCAAGTGTTATGCTCAGTTATACTTCAGTCTTTGATGGCGATACATGGACATAACTACATAAAAATTCATCGAAGTGGCAAAAGCAATGTTTTGATCTTTAGTCTCCATGTGCTGGCAGCATATAATATTTCAATAAAAATAGGTGGATTTTCCCCAAAGAAAAAAACCTGCAATGTTCTGTCAACATTTTGGTTGATTGTGTACCCAGAAATTGAGATTCGGGGGCCTGGTTTATATATAATACTAAGCCAGAATTCTTTAATCTGGTTGGTTGAATAACCATACTGGCCTAGTAGTTTATATGTATGTAAGGTTTACAAGAAACAATAAGATAGCTGAGCACTTCATATGAATCAAATCAAAATAGTCCTAGCTTTCCTCATATTTTAAATTTTATTTCAGTCTCTGATCATAATATTTCTTCAGAGTATTAGATTAACAAAACCCAATTTGCAGGCTTACTACACTGAAAGGAGTAACTATTTTATTGCATAACCGGGTCTGTTTTATTTTATAAGACATGTATCTTTATGTGTTTATAGGAAATTGTAGAACTTCCTGGTACATTTGATGAATTTTTGGCCTGTTTCAATTTGGTATGTACGTTTATGAAATAATTTTAATAGTGCATGGGAAATGGTATGAAAATGTCATTAAAGTAGTAACAATAAACACCAGGGATGGTGGTTATGCAGTCTGAAACATCTGGAGGGCTTTAGATTCCCCTGCTATAGATTAACCATCTTAGCTCAGCAAAGAAAGAATAGATGCAGGTATGATAGTTAATGATGGACAGCTTATCCTGGAACTTCTGAAAGGCAATTAGGAAATGTTATGTGAGAGTAAAAGGCAATTAGTCAATGCTGTGAGAAACAAAAATATTTAGGGCTGAACTAGTATGATATGAATGGCAGTTTCAATACATCGCTTATTTTTCTCCCTCAAGCAACTGTATAACAGCAGCTGTCAGCCATGGGGAAACATAACTGGTTAAAATTTTCCAATGTCAGATGCTATACAGGTAATCCTTGATTTACCGCCACAGTTGACCCCAAAATTTCTGTTGCTAAACAAGACATTTGTTAAGTGAGTTTTGCCCCATTTTATGATTTTTCTTGCCACAGTTGTTAAGTGAATCGCTACAGTGGTTTAGTATTGTTAAGTGACTTAGCCTGATGCAAGTTTGCAAAAAAAAAAAAAAGGGGGATTACCTGACCCTGGGACACTGCAACCATCATAAATATGAGTCAGTTGCCAAGGGTCCGAATTTTGATCACATGACCTTGTGGATACTGCAACGGTCGTAAGTGCAAAAACCAGTCACACGTCACTTTTTTCAGTGCCATTGTAACTTTGAATGGTTTCCAAATGAATGGCTGTAAGTGGAGGACGGCCTGGGCTTTGTGGCTCCATGTATAAAACAGACACTTAACATTATTTCTGCTTAACGTTTATTTTGCAATTTCTGTTCTTTGCAGGATGATTGGCCCAAAACCCCATACTTGCCAGACGTGAATCCTTATCCCTTGGTTTCCCAGATAAAAAATGACTATCCTGCAGATACTGTTGCCCGGTATCTTTATGATAATGCTCCAATGCCCCATGAAATTATTTCCAGGTTGGAAAAAAGAATAGATGAGTGCAAACTACAAGTCCAGGAGCACGCTAAGCACATCTTTACATTGGAATCAGAAAAATCAGAAATGGATGAGCAGCCAGGACAACGTAATTCTGTCTCTTAGCTAATAAGTCCATTTATTGGGGGGGGAAGTATCAGTTCATTTTAGAACGTGGAATAAGAAGAGTTGGAAGGGACCTTTGAGGTCATCTAGTCCAACCGCCCCTGCTGGAGCAGTTCAGGCCAATAGCTGTCCAGTTTTATAGTCCCAAAGGTGCTTTTTTGAAAAGGCCACTGGACTTTGGCTTTCCTTTAAGATGTTTTCCTCCTCCTCAAAGAGCTTCTCCAGTTCCGACTGAATGTTGGAGAATGGAAGGAGTTATATTCCTTGCTGTCATCTGGTCATTAGCACTCTCTATGAGAGTCGTTGAGACCACTTGGAGGTTTACCTGTTCCCTTGGGGTCACCTGAACAGTGCAAATGGGTCTGGAACCTTCTTGGAACTGCTGAAACTTCTTGGATGAGAAGCGAAACGTCTTCAAGGTAAAAACAAAGTCAGTGGCCTTTTGAAAAAGCACCTTTAGGACAACCATGACCTGGAAGATTTCCTGGATAAGTTTCCTGCTTGGAGGCAACAACCTGTATTGATAAGGTGACCAACTTTTTTACAATGAAAAGGAGGACACAAATAAATTGAAGAAAAAAATATCGTAAATAAAAGAAACATTTTATTCATTGCAACAATAATACAGACAACTTGCATGTGCAAAGTTTGCCGGCCGGGTGTTTTGGCGTGCTCAGCAGCAATTCCTATGGGCTTTTGAAAGCCAATAGCGGGAAGTAGCACAGCTCATGCAAAAGTTGAAAAAAAAAACATCAAAAAAAGATGCCGGAACGCCGTTCTGAGTGTTCTATGAGGGGGAAAAAAAAGCCTTGCAGATTAGTCTTCAAATATCGAAAAGGAGGACATGAAGGAGGACACTTTTCGAGGGAGGACAGAACTTACAAAAGGAGGACTGTCCTCCCTAAAGGAGAACGGTTGGTCACCTTATGTCTCAAAGGAAATGTCAAAAACAATTATACATCTATCAATGCCTTCTCAGTATTTGATTATCTCATTTTATCCCAGTTAGTGTATCTCTCTATTTCTTCCCTAGGCTGTCATACTGCTTCTATCTGGCTTATGATTACAATAATAGTTGTATTCATCTTAGGATCCATTGAGAAATATCCCTCTGGTCAATAATGATAAGTTGCTTTGCTATGCTGATGTGATTAGATTTTCTTTTTAAACACAGCAGTGTAAATTTTTCTGGAATACTTTTAGACATTTCCTATCCAAGCCCAAAATGATCAGCAACCCTGCATCCACTTAACTGCCCTGGCTACCATGCCAGGGATTCAAGTAAAGTCTCCACCGTGTCCTGTTTGTAGGCCAGCAGATACTTGGCGCTTGCCTAGAAAGAAAGCAGATGTGTCCTATTTGATCGAGTTGATGGTGATCAGAAAATTAGGCTCAAGAATTGTGGTCTGGCTCATAGCAGCAGCAGGGAAATTTTTTTCTTCAGTAGCCAAAGTGGATTTAAAACAGTCTTATGTGGGAGTATTCTTTTAAGGAGATGTTCTGCGGAACTATTATCTCTGTGCTTCCCACAGAAGTCATTTTTTACATATTTAGACTGAAGCCATCCGAAAGATTGTCTAATTGCTGGTTGTATATATGTGCCTGTGTTTATGCATGTATATGTCTGTGTATAGAGCACAAGCCTATTTTGAGCAGCCTAGAGCTTAGATGCTGTTGGATTTTGATCAATGAAAAGAACAGCATGATTAATATTTGGGCAGCTGCTTATATTATGTGGTTTAGGTGTTAAGTTTAGGAATCATAACTAAGGAACATCTTAAAAGCGTAGCTCTGTTCTCACACTTGCCAATTACTTCAATTATTTTAAGATGTCTTAATTGTGCATGCTTGAAAAATAGGTAAATATAGGCAAACGAGAACTGTATGTTATAACTGTATGAGAGGGATCTTGGAGTCTATCACTTAAATAGGAGCCAATCCTGTGCTGCAGCTGCCAAAAAAGCCAACATTAACAGAGGGATAGAATTAAGATCACGTGAAGTATTAATACCACTTTACAATGCCTTGGTAAGGCCACACTTGGAATACTGCATCCAGTTTTGGTCACCATGATGTGAAAAAGATGTTGAGACTGTAGAAAGAGTACAGAGAAGAGCAACAAAGATGATTAGGGGACCGGAGGCTAAAACACATAAGGAACGGTTGCTGGACTTGGGTATGTCTAGTTTAAGGAAGAGAAAGACAAGGGGGGACATGAGAGCAGGGGCTGCCCCAAAGGAGAGGGAGTCAAGCTATTCTCCAAAGCACCTGAAGGCAGGACAAGAAACGATGGATGGAAACTAACCAAGGAGACAAGCAACCTAGAACTAAGGAGAAACTTCCTGACAGTTAGAACAATTAATCAGTGGAACAACCTGCCTCCAGAAGCTGTGAATGCTCCAACCCTGGAAGTTTTTAAGAAGAGGTTGGACAGCCATTTGTCTGTAATGGTATAGGGTTTTCTGCCTGAGCAGGGGGTTGGACTAGATGACCTCCAAGGTCCTTTCCAACTTTATTATTATTATTACTACTACTACTACTACTACTACTACTACTACTACTACATCTATATCTATATCTATGTTTTAAATTCTTAGCTTCTTTTCTTCTTGTTTTCAAGTTGATGTGACATCATCTCCTGAATCCCAGGATATTTCAAAGAAGAAAACGAAAATAGAAATGAAGGTAATCATGCGTTGGATATCCCTCTTCCCCTCCCTTAAGAGATTGATTGCTACACTGAGAGAACTGGAATCTGCTAAGAAGTTTGCTTGCATTGCTCTTAGAGAGAGAAAAAAGCTAAACAGAACAGAACAACAGAGTTGAAAGGGTCCTTGGGGAAAACCCTATACCATTTCAAACAAATGGTTGTCCAATCTCTTCTTAAAAACTTCCAGTTCTGGAGCATCCACAACTTCTGGAGGTGCATCGTTCCACTAAAGCAGTGGTTCTCAACCTGTGGGTTGGGACCCCATTTGGGGTCGAACGACCATTTCACGGGGGTCGCCAAACACGCAGTCTGCCATTTTTTTCCCCCTTTTCCTTAGCTGTGCTACTCCCTTTTATTCTATTGGCTTTTGAAAGCCAATAGAATAGACTCTCTTGAATAGAGTCTAATTCTATTGGCTTTCAAAAGCCAATAGGAATTATCCAGGCTGTCTCTGCCCTGCTGAGCCCGCCAAAAGTCCCCTTCTGCAAACGGTGCTGCACCAGTTGAGTAGTCCTCGACTTACGACCGGTTGGGTAGTCCTCGACTTACGACCGGTTGGGGGGTCGCGGCATTAAAAAGGTTGAGAACCACTGCACTAAAGTGTTTCATGTATAAAAACAGTTCCCTTGTTTTTCTCCACACCTTAAGTGAGGTGACTTCCAACCATCTGTTTGTCCTGGTTTATTCATTCAGTATTTTGGATTAAGCTGATGCAGAAATGGGACATTTTAGCTACTTGTAAGCAAATGTTTTATTTAAATGATAGGTCAATAAAATGAATATGTATATAGTTAATATTTGTATTCTTCTCTATTAAACAATTTGTCAGAATAGTTAGAAATGTGACACTTTCTCTTGAGTTCCCATAGTAGAATGATATTAATGTTGTGCTATGTCATGTCCCAGTATATGGGATTTTACGTGACTTCTACCCTCCCTCTAAGAAATTTCTCTATTTCTATGTCTGGACTACATCTACTCTAGTTCCATATCTTTATGATGTATTTCTTGGAAATGTATTTCAGTTTCCTACGGAAGCCCCACAAGAGTCAAGAAATAAAGAATTGGAGGTAAATTTTATATGGTGTAGAAGTCAGTGATGAAATTAAATTGGTTTTTATTAGTCTGCACAAGAGAGGGGAATGGATCAATTCCAAACCACTGGGAATAGAGCTCTAAAAATTAATTTACACAAAGTATTTATCATCCCAACCAAAGTATAATTAAGCAAGAAGGCTACCATCCTGGAAGAAGATATAGATTACAGCGTCGGTTTTTCCAAGCAATTATTTTAAAACACGGAAAACTATTATGTTCAAGAATCATTTATCCCTTGGTGGGGCAAAACCAAACCCATATTGTGGCTCCAATAAGCTATGCAAACTCAGTCATTGTATGAAGTATGTTTAACAATTAAAAAAAAAAGTTTTGATCTGAGGAAGCTATAGTTCTTGTTGGGTTGGAATGCTGCGTGTGCAGAGTCATATGTCCTGCGGTTGCTGTTCCTTCCGCCCAAAATATGCCCCCAATCAAATCACATCTGAATAGTCAGTAGGAACAGGACATTCAGAACAAAGGTTTTAATCATATGTGGATTAGGAATCCACATAATTAGCTTTTTCAGAAAAAAGAAAACGTCTGGCGACAGGATGCATTTCAAACTTCCATGCTTCGTGAGTCTTGTTAGGTAGGAATCGTGATTGTGCTAAGCTAGCACATGGTTGATGTTGGCTTAGTAATGGGTGAATCAGTGTTGAGAAAACATCTACAGAGCCCCGCCCCCAGATCCTGGACATAAACTGTTTCAACTTCTCCCCTCTGGAAACCTCTATAGCAGGCATGTCAAACTGCTGGCCCACGGGCCGGATGCGTCACAACGAAACCACGCCTACCCCATTGCCGGCAATGGGGAAAAGTCGCGATACGTCGCACGATGTCACGTGACATTGCGAGTTTGACATGCCTGCCTGTAAGGCAGGGCTTTTCAACCTTTTCAACCATTGTACCACTTTTAGGATATGGCAGTATCCAAGTACCACCAGTCACCTAGCAAGGTGTCAAAAACTTGATGACCAAAAAAAAAGAAAAAAGAGATAAAGTACAGGTAGTCCTCGATTTACAACAGTTCGCTTAGTGACTGTTCGAAGTTACAATGGCACTGAAAAAAGTGCCCCCCAAGCCGCAGCCGAGCAAGACACCTGCCTGCCCGCCCGGCGGCGCTCTTCCTCCTGTCCGAGATTTTCATTGTTGTGAACATATCTGTTGGGGATTGGCAGCGGAGGTGGGGTGGGGGGGTGTTTGGTTTTTTATTCCTCCATCTGCTGGGTGGTTGCAGCAGGTTTTGGTCACTTCACATGACCCTGGGACACTGTGACCACCATAAATATGAATCAGTTGCCAAGCATCTGAATGTAAATCACAAGACCCTGGAGAGGCTGCAACATTCCAGCTGATCGGTGCTTCTTCTGGGCTCAGCAGAAGCACCAGGATCAGCATTGAGCTCCAGTTGGAGCCTGGTGCTGATCCTGGCGCTTCCACTAAGCCCTGACAGCCCCGAAGAAGCACCGATCAGCTGAAAAGTGGCACTAATCCTGGTGCTTCCGCAGAGCCCTGACAGCCCTGCAGCTCCAGCCATCTCTCGCTCAGGCTTGTGCGGTGCTGCCACTGGTTCAGCTCGTTCACCTCCCCTGCTATCACTTTTCTAGGATGGTCGCGTACCACCTGCCAGGTGCCAATGTACCACAGGTGGTACCCGTACCACTGGTTGAAAAGCCCTGCTGTAAGGCATGCCAAAACAACTATGTTAAAAAACAGGTTTTCCCCCATGCCATCACTCTGCTGAACGCTTAATTCCCACATCCCTCTCTTAGGTCTAAGAAATTTACCCATGTAGGAGGCTGTATTGCTATTATCATCTTTCTCATTTTTTCTCATTTTTCCTACTACCTTCCCTATTGGTATCTTATGACTTATCACTTGTTGTTTGTATCTTATGATTAATGATTGTAACTATGATTTATTATCTACTATCTGCCACTTTGTTGTTGCATGTGTGTACATTGAGAGCTTATGCACCAGAGACATTCCTTATGTGTCCAGTCACACTTGGCCAATAAAGAATTCCTATTCTATTCTATTCTATTCTATTCTATTCTATTCTATTCTATTCTATTCTATTCTATTCTATTCTATTCTATTCTATTCTTCTCATATCATTATAGTTTGGAACCATAGTTTATATTTTAGAATTATATGGCCAAACCAAATATAGCTTATTCAATCATCTGTGGCTCAGTGTGACGTCTAAACTCAGTTGTTTGGACTTGACACTCCTTCTTCTTCTGCCATATCCATTGTCGGACGTTGGCGATCATGTTGGCGATCCTGTTTTTATCAGCAGCCGCCCGAAAAAGTGCTGCTGAGTTTTGTCCAAACCAGTCCCTTAGATTTTGAAGCCATGATGTTCTTCTTCTGCCTGGACCTCGTTTGCCTTCAATCTTTCCCTGGAGGATTAAATGGAGTATGCCGTGTTTTTGTGGGTGTCCGAAATATTCTAACTTTCATTTTTTAATTGTTTTGATGATTTCCCTTGGCTTTCCCAGGCAGCTTACTGACACTTCTTAGATAAACTAAAGTCAACTAGGTATGATGACTGTGGCTCTTTTTCTTTTTTAGAATTTCAGTTTTCCTGAGTTCAATTTGTGGAAACTTACAAAACTTCCAAATAATCTAGAACCTGCACATATGTGGGATTCGGTCCTGAAAGTCCACATTTTCAAGGTATCAATTTTTAATTTTACTTAATTTGAAGCACCAAAAGGAACACAAGCTTGTGAAACAGGAGGCAAATTTGTGAGCAAATGAGATATTGGGACAACATTGGGATAAATATATTCCTGCTCCTGTAATTGTTGGAATGGGATACTACAGAAAGGACAGGACGTTACATTAGGAGTTTTTAAAAACAAAACAAAACAAAAAGCAGAAAATTAAAGATGGCAAACAGCTTTTATGTTTTTGCCAAGAAAACTATATTTTGTTAAGTCACGGAGAATCAAGCATGATTTAAAGGAGGGTTTTGTTTTTTTTTACTTTTACTGTGGATTTGTGAAATATCGCTTCATGGAAACAAAATTAAGGAGACAGAATCTGCTCTTAAATTTTCCTTCAAAAAGTGGAATAAAGCTTCTGGATTTTAGGGGGTCAATTAGAATTAATTCCTTCTTTTTCTCCCTCTGCTTCACAAGATCAGCCTTTTTAAATTTTTTTTTAGGTCAGAGAATTTGCAGGAAAACAATTGGCAAAACGTTATAGTTTGTCAAAGCTGTCCAAATTTGGAACTGTCAGACAAGGCAGTAGGAGTGCTCTGTTGATTGGTTGACAACAGTAGTCATATTGGTTAGCCAGATTTATAAAATTATAAAAGATAATCGTTTATAAAAAGATTATAAAAGATAATCTCCCAAAGCTGGACTTTCGCATCGACCTTATTTGTTGTGTGCAGAACGGGCCAGAAAATAAAGTATCTTGCATACTTTACAAATCAACTAAAAAAAATAAATGTATGACTAAATGCAGCTGGAAGAAATACTGAATAAACTGGCATCCTGGCATCACTAGCAGATTTTCATGTACTTATTAAGAATTCCTTGTGGGTCCTTAGGCTGCAGTTCAGGAATGTCTGTAAAAATTCCTTCCTCTGAGTAGATATTTATCTATGACTGCATTTCTTATATGCTCCATAGATTAACAAGGTTCTTGAGATAGAATTCTCAAAAGACGAAATGGATATACAGGAAGATACTTTATTTCCTAATTGTCCTGAAATGTTCCAGTGATCGCAGGGCAGCTGAAATCTAATGGACTCACTCAAAGATGAATATATTTGGGCCTGCATAAAAGTGACCACCGCATTTTGCCATGTCTTTTTTTTTTTTTTGACAGGGTGTGAATACGAAAGTTTTGAAGCAGCTCTTTTTTTCTGAAGCATCTCTTGCGATTCTGCAGGATTCTTTCTGGTGGTGGTTTCTTCATAAGTTCCAGGTACAAAACTTAAGGCCTTATCTCGTGCTTGATCTTATGAAAAAACAAAAGTAATTGACATTACAGTATATAATTTTGTGTGTGCGGATTCTTTGGCACTAAATGAAACAGCTGGATTCAACTTCGTTTTCTGCCACCCAACGATCTGATACGATGTATGTGAAACTTTTATTAAATGAAGTTTTGGCCAAGTTAGAACCCTGTCTTGGATGTTCCCTTCTTTTTCATGCTCACAGCTACTTCTGTATTTAAATGCAACATATGTGTGACATTTGAATGCTTATGAAGTTATTTCAGTCATGCAAATACGCCTTCAGGCAAATCCAGTGATGCTGGATCTGTGAAATACAGCAGTCCTGCTCTCACAATGCACTAAGCTAGCTTAAGGTGTGATTTGTTTATTTAAGCCACTTCAGTCCCCCAAACTAGTCAGGTGAATTGCATTGTTACTTTTATAAAAGTGCTAGAGAAAGTTTATTGTAGTCTTGCTTACAGGATTTGCGTATTACTTTAAACAGCTACTAATGAACTACATGGGTAGATCTAGTTTCGGCAGGTAAAAATTGCTGCATTTCTAAACATTGTCATTAATTCAAGACTGCTGACAACAACTCTGTTATATATGTTTTTAACTGTAGAATAGACTTTGCTTAATACTTTCTCCTGATTATTTCAAGCCTGATCAAGAGGAACAGGACCACTTCTTTGACAGAATATCAGATAGCTACGTGACGCTTCTGTGGAGCATCCCCAGTTACATTAAAGATGCTTTTCTTCAGGTAATGACATTGTTTGCAATTCTGACTTTTACTCCTTCCAACTTGTCCTGTTCAGAGAAGAGTGAAAGGTGTGTTATCGTTCTATCTCGCTGTCTCTTAATCCGTTTCTGTTGTTAAACATACCAGAATCCTTCAACCTTTCATACTACTATGACATACCTTCAGGCTCTCTTATTGCCTCTGAAGTTTTTTTTTTTTAAATTGTTTACGGTAATCTTAACTACTTAGCATACAACTCTAGCAAAGCTTGATAAGAAGATTTGTGAATCTAGCTAACACCTTCCTGAAGAATACAGAGCAGGAAAAGAGGTTATAATTTATTTACATATGTGCTGGTCATTCCATAATCAGAATTCCTTGGGCAATGAGCACTCACTTTAAGAACTACTACCTCTCAATTCATTCTGTAAGCAGCTTGGTACCTTCTAGATCTATTATAAGATCTGGCAGGATTGACATGGCTGTCATAGCACTGATAAAGTTTGTCTTCTGTAGACGAAGGACAGGCAGAGCTGGATGGCAGAGTCAAGAGAGGAATCAGCCTCTCTTGACTCTGCGTTTCCACAAATGGTCTAAGTCCAAGCCCTCTTGAATTCTGTTAAATCTTATCTAGCGCCAATTTAGTGCTGGCTGTTAGTTGACCAGATTCTTGTTTATAGGCATGATCAGTAGAGCAGCTTAAATGGAACTTAACGTGTGGTCCTGATTCTGCACCCCTTATGCCTTTTCTGTGACACTTTTTTGTGATTGAACCAATAATATTAATATCAATAATATCAATATCAATAATATTAATATCAATAATAATATCAATAATAATATCAATAATAATAATAGAAAGACTGTGGCAAAAGCAAGCAAGGGTAGTACCAATAGTAATAGGTGCCTTGGGTGCAATCCCAAAACAACTGGAGCACCACTTGAACACCATTGGCATTGACAAATTCGCTATTAGTCAATTGCAAAAGGCAGCCTTAGTACGAACTGCCTCCATCCTGCGACGATATCTGTAATACCATCAAATATCCACATCTGCCTAGCCCAGGTCCTGAGTAAGGACTCGATAGGTAGACAAAATGCCAAATCCAGTCTGAACATCTGGCTGACTGTGCGATGATCCAAAATAATAATAATAATAATAATATTAATAATAGGTCATCTAGTCCAACCCCCTTCTCAGGCAGAGAATACCATTTCAAACAAATGGCTGTCCAGTCTCTTCTTAAAAACTTCCAGTGTTGGAGCATTCACAACTCCTGGAGGCAGGTTGTTCCACTGGTTAATTGTTCTAATTGTCAGGAAGTTTCTCCTTAGTTCTAGATTGCTTCTCTCCTTGATTAGTTTCCATCCATCGCTTCCCACAATTTCTGGCCCTGGTAACTTCCAGGCAGTTGTTAATTGGTATTTTGGATACCCTTTTCCTTCCTAGAATGGTTGTTTTTTATTGTTTTGTTTTTTATTGCTTATTTTTTTTTCAGTCCTGTGTAAGAGTCACTTAGAAATTGATGAAGTAAAATAAATAGATCTCAACTGATCTGAAAAGCAGTAATTGGAGAAGGTGATTCTAACGTGCCTTTTGGCCTCAGGTTAAGCTGCCTGCTCTGTGTTCAGCCCCTCTCCTAAGATATTAGGGCTTTTTGTTGTAATGTTTAGAATACCCCAAAATTAGTGTGATAGAATTAATAAATTTTAATGAATTTTAAAAAAACCCGATGAAGATATAACAGCCTTCTTTCTCCTTACTGATTTGACGATAAGTTCATTTGCTTCGCGATAAACTCAGCTGCCACCCTACTTGCGATGTTCTTGGACAAACCTTGTATTTTTGTCACAGCTGGTGACTCAGCAATGTTTGAATGCCTGTTTATTTCTATATTTGAGCGTCACCCGGTTTTTACAATTAACTTCATTTGCAACTTGGCAGATGTATCCTGACTGCTTGTCCCAAGCCATCTACATTACTTTCTGTGAAGCTTTTCCTCAGTCTTGCCATCGTTTTGATGATCAGTTTAAAGACGAATTAATGGATTTAATTTTCCAGTGGATCAGAGGTACCAGAATGTCGATTATTTTACCTTGCAGTTGTTGGCAATCGCATATCTCAGTAGTTGTTTACCTAATTGCACCTATTCAGCATTTTCTATCTATCTCAGTGATGGTGAACCTTTTAGAAACCAAGTGCCCAAAAACCAGCCCCGCCCCTGCCCCCCCATTGACCCCGTCCTTGCCAGCCCACATCGCCACTCCCTGCCTCCATGGCCCGCCAATCGCCCAGGCAGTCTAGCAGTGCCATGGCGGCCACGCCCTCCGCCTATGCCCCACAGCATCAACTGCTTGCAATGGGGCACAAGGGTGGAGTCTTGTTCCCACTGCCTGGCTGCCATGTTCTTGGTTGCGCTGTTCCACGCGGGCCACGCTTGGGGGCGACTCTCTGGGGGAGCTGCTAGTGAGGGGGCTGCAGCGGGAGGCGGGGCTGGGGCAATGGCGTACGTGCCCACATTTCTAAGTCTGCCAGAGGTTCGCCACCACTGATCTATCTTATCAGTCCTATCATTCAGTTAGAAATTAGAGTTAAGCCACTGAGAACGATCTCTTGGTCATTTCAAGAGCCCAAATTAGAGTATTCCAGACAGGTGGTTGTCCAGCCCTAATTTGAACACGTTCCAGTAAGGTGAACCCATCAGCTCTTCTCAATCATTAGTTCCATGTTTGAACTGTTCTTTCTCATAGAATTTTTTTATAATGTTCATTTGCAATCTTCCTCTCTGTAACTTAAATCCACAATTCTGTGTCCCACACTCTGGAACAAGCCCCACTGCTGCCTTGACTTTTCTTCCATAAGGCATATTGAGAGGTTGTGAGTTCCAGTCCTACCTTGGCCTTGAAAGCCACCTGGATGACTCTCGCGGCCCAGTCCAGGTTTGTTGCAGGGAAAACAGGAAGCAGGATCATTATGTACGCCCGTCTTGCTTTGTGCAAAATAAAGCTGGAAATAAATCTAAGAAGAAGAAAATTTTAATGCCCCCCCCCCAAATCATAGAATTGTAGGCACGAAAAAGGGTCCACAAGGATCAACTAGCCCAGAATCCCCCAAAGTGGTCAGTATTGACCTGCAAAGGTTGTCCACTATTGTTATAGTATTATTATTCATAGTAATGTTAGTTAAAGCAGTACGATATTTATTAAATTGTTTGGGGGGGGTGTCAATGAACAATCTGAAATGTCATAAAGGGGTCAGTGATCTGAAGAGTTTGAGGAACCCCCGATCTAGTTCAAAAACATTTGATTGGTTAGTATTATTCAATTGTCCCTCTTACAGGTTTTAAACCACAAAAATTTGCTTGGAAAAATTGGAAGTGTCCGTCAACGGAAAAACCTAGAAAATCCATTGTAGAGAAGGACTCCTTTTCTGAGATATCATCACATATGAAACCACAGCCTAGAAGAAGGACAACATCAAGGTCGAGGTCAAGGTCAAGATCCAGTTCAAGGTCAAGAATAAAAACCTGTAAGTACCAGGAAAAGGGATTATCCTGAGAGCTTTGTGGAGTTTATTTATTGAGCATATGGCAAATTTACATTAGCCAGGAAACTGCAGTGCTACTACAAAGTAGTTGTTTAGCTGCCTAAGACAGCTGGTGTGTTCTGCTTACTCTCATGTGCTATTCAGAACGCACCACAGGGGCAGACTAGCTCCACACTCTTAAGACCTATTGCTGTTTTGCAGCATCATCCGGGCTTTTCCCTCCACCTATGTTGCCGTGCATTTGGGCGTCACATTTGGGTAGGTCCAGCACCGGTTGAGTTTGTATGTTGTTCAAAGCGCCATTTCCCCCTCCCGTTGTGGTGTCTATTTATCTACTTGCATTTTGCATACTTTCGAACTGCTCGGTTGGCAGGAGCTGAGGCCAGTGACAGGAGCTTACCCTGTCCCGTGCTGCTGGGGCTCAAACTGCTGGAGTACAGACCTTCTCCAGCACCATTAAGCCACGGAGCCACCGCACCTCTCTACTCTGTGGAGTGATACATCATAGAGACAATGCCAAAATTGTTAACTTTAATAGAATACTATTTTCAGTTCTTTAACTATAGTCTTATACAGCAATATCCACAAGGAACGATTGTGAGATTGATGCAACTCTAGGCTGCTGTTTTGTTATATATGCATTGCCTCCAACTGTCAGTAGAGGACATAAACAGGAAGTTGCTTTTGCAGTCAGGGTGGCTTGTCACCTTCTGAAGATATCTAGTCACATGGGGAACTCAATACTGGATTAGATAGGCCAGCAAATGTGTTACATTTGGGACTCTTTTCATTTGCTCTGGATGAAAATTGGTCCATATCCATTTCCTTGTTAATCTTCTTGGGAAAAAATACCCCTTGGTGCCAGTTGTGAAGCCAAGGGGGAAAAGCTGGTTTTCATTTGGACCAGTCCTGATGTTTATATCTTCTGGATCTCACCGTGGCGGTTCCGTTCTTTGGAAGAAAAAAGCTTGCAGTTAATGTCACGACTGGTTTCTCCATCAGAGGATTTGGCCATGCTGAGCTGCTTCCATTAAATTCTTCTGAATTTGCCGTCTGAACAGATAGCTTTCTTTTGATCTGGATCCTAGTGGCAGGCGAGCTTTTTTTTTACTGACTTGACTTCTTGTGATGGGACAGCCACATCTCCTATCACTTTCAAAATATTAGCAGCAGCCTTAATTAGCAGGGAACATGGCATTGGCGTGTTGTTGTTTTTTTGCAAACTGGGGTTGTTCCATCTGAAACTTTCCTTGTAAGAATTGCTACAGGCTGTCATTTTTGTCTCTTATCCAGTACAAATTGGCAGGAGTTTTGTGTACTAGACTTTGTGTCTGGTCATAAGAGGAGAAAAGAAAGGGCCATTAAGCCAGACTGTTTTGATACTCCTTTGGAATTAAAAGCATATGAAACAAATGCATATTGATAATTTGTTTTTATAAATAACATCAACTTAAATAACTTAAAACAATAAAATTCAATTATAACTTAAAATAAAGTTTAATGCTGTAACCACAGAGAAGCATGAATATCGGTTGGAAAAAAAAAAACACTTAGAAGCCATATGCCCAAACAGGAATTATATAAAAAGATAGGTTATGTTACATAAAAACCCATATGATGTTGTCTGAATTTTTTACTTCATCGTTACATAAAAGGATATTTTGAGGAAAGTGAGATGAAATACATTTCCCTTATGAATATTATTTAATATTACGCTATTTTGTAACATCTTTCAGAGCAGCATTAGGCATTCTTACTGATAGATATGAATACATTGCAGTGATGCAACTTTCATTGGTCATATTACCTTTATTGTCTGAATACCACAGCGATCCAATTTCAATTTGCTTTAATACTTAATACCTTTATTATTATTTTTTTCCTGGGAAGTATTTAATACTGCTTAGCCTTCACAATTCGTACCAACTTGATCATCTGAAGACTTCATCCAGCAGCCATCAAGTCCGTCATATTTTACATAACATTTTCATCTGCTTTATTATTATTATAGCAGCCATGTTTAACGAAGCAGATAGGTTTATTTTAAATAAAAGATTGTCAGATAATCAAGTCATGAACAAGGCGCAAAGGGGTAAATTTAATTTAAGAATCTGCAAAGCTACTCTTATGCTAACGTAAGGATTGTACAACTCTTTACAATTTTTTACAACTTTTAGTTACTAAATCTGAAGTAGTGTATATTTTCATTTATTTATTTATGTTTTTTTAAAGCCAGTCTCTTAAAAATAAAACATCACGCTCAAGTCCAGCTTGTTCAGTTTTTCAGTAGTATTCCAGCTTGTCTTCCTTTCAAACAGTCCCCTTTTCAAATTTTATATATATATATATATATATATATATATATATATATATATATATATATATATACATACACATACATACATACATACATACATACATATATATTTGTTTTCTGAGGTTTTCGTGGGTGTTTGTATGTAGGTCTTTGGTTATTCGGGTTTTCTCCCGCGTCAAATTGGAAGTGTCTTGGCGACATTTCGACAAGTCTCATTCGTCATCTTCAGGCTGGTGTTTTTGGCTTCGTGCTTCTAGGAGCAATGTGTGATCGTAGTTGTTTCTTCCTTTTAACTGCCAGTGGGGGTATGAACTGATTGGGTGAGAGCCAAGTTGCGATCACACATTGCTCCTAGAAGCACGAAGCCGAAGACACCAGCCTGAAGATGACGAATGAGACTTCATCGAAATGTCGCCAAGACTCTTCCAATTTGACGTGGGAGAAAACCCGAATAACCAAAGACCTACATACATATATATGTATATACATATATATATATACATATATATATATATACATATATACATACGTATATACATATACATATATATATGTGTGTATGTGTGTGTGTGTGTGTGTGTGTGTGTGTGTGTGTATGTATGTATGTATGTATATGTATATATATAAGTCTTTGGTTATTCGGGTTTTCTCCCGCGTCAAATTGAAACGTTTCGACGTTTCATCAAAACGTCACCAAGACACTTTCAATTTTACGCGGGAGAAAACCCGAATAACCAAAGACCTACATACAAACACCCGCAAAAACCTCAGAAAACATGTATGTATATATATATGTATGTATATATATGTATATATGTATATATATATATGTATGTGTGTATATATATATATATATATATATATATATATATATATATATATATATATATATATATATGCTGGAACTGGTTGTTCATAGTTCATATAAGATTAGGATACTGCAAATGGAAGAAAATGGGAGGAAGTGTCTTCTTTGCTTGTTTTTTGACCTCTTTTAGGGGCTCCATTCTGTTTTAATGCAATGTACATCTCTTTTCCTTTGTGCGTCCAGTTTGCAGAAGCGTAGGTGTTATAATGGTTTTCTTGAATGAGTTCTACGAAGTTGCAGTCTTCATTGCACACTTTCTGTTGTTTAAAGAAAAATGAGGTGATCAGTTGAACACCAAAATACCTGGCAGGGCTGTGTATTATTTCCCCCCCAAAATCGATTATCCTTGAAATAAGGTAGTCCTCAAGTTACGGACGCAATGAAGCCTACCCATGAGGTTCGTGAGTTGTTCACATTCGTAAAATGGGTTGGCCGTGTGATTTTTACGACTTTTTTTTTGCAGCTGTCATTAAGCGAACGCTGTACTTGTAAGTGCGAATGCTGCAGTCGTTAAGCGAAGCCACGGCTCGCTGTGATACAGTTTTGCCGAAAACCAGAAATAAGAGCTGATTTTCAGCAGAGGCCACACGACGTGGTCACATCACTGCAAATATGACTGTCGAGCACCTGAAGTGCTGGGGGGGGGGCTGACTGTCAGAACTTTAGATCCAGGTCACAAGTCCCCTTTTTCAGGTAGGTCGTAATTTCAAAGCAAACAGTTGTAAGTCGAGGACTACCTGTATGCAGTACTATCTACTTAAAAGGTACCTACTGACTATGCAAAGGCGTTACAATTTTTTTTAAATCAGGACTGATAACATCAATAACATTCCTGACGTTGCCGAACAGCTGGGTCATCCCAAGCGGACAGGGTCAGCTGCATAGGCTGCTGGGAGTTGTAGTTCAGCATCTAATCTGCATTGGGGAGTGAGGCAGGATAAGGGTGGCCTAGCTGGTTAGGAGCCCAAAGCAAAACAGGCAAGTAAAGTAAATAAGAGCCCCTCAAAGAATCCCAAAACCGCCAAGAAACCACAGACTGCCAGCAGCTTCTTCCTCCTGTTGAGTTTTGTTTGCTTTTTCTTTATTTTTTAAAATGTGGCTTCTGGGAGAACGAAGTCAAAACAGAGAAAACTCTGATCTCCAGTAAGTTTGCATTCCAAGGCAGCTGTTGGTAAATGAGAGCCATTCATAAAAGCCACCAGTCGTATGCCATCCTCTAACCATTCCCATGGATTAGGGCCAGTATAGTATAAAACACAGCTGATCAAAAAAAAAATAAATAAATTCAGGAGCAAACCTATGTTTCATTAAATGCAAGCGGCTTCTAATAATTATGGCAGTACCTTTCCATAAAGCTTCCCAGACTTGTTCATCGCCAGAAAGTATTCACTTGCGACTCCTTTGATTGCCACTATTCCAACTGCCACCGTTCGTATTTCGAGAATACCTGTAGGAAATAACAGTAAGGTCCGTAACCAAGAAATTAAAAGACGCTTGCTCCTGGGGAGGAAAGCTATGGCAAACCTAGACAGCATACTAAAAAGCAGAGACATCACCCTGCCAACAAAAGTACGTATAGTCAAGGCCATGGTTTTCTCAGCTGCAATGTATGGCTGTGAAAGTTGGAGCATAAGAAAGGCTGAGCGCCAAAGAATGGAGGCCTTTGAACTATGGTGCTGGAGAAGACTCCTGCGAGTCCCCTAGACTGCAAGGCCATCAAACCGGTCAGTCCTAGAGGAGATCAACCCTGACTGCTCTTTAGAAGGCCAGATCCTGAAGTTGAAACTCAAGTACTTTGGCCACTTAATGAGAAGGAAGGACTCACTGGAGAAGAGCCTAATGCTGGGAAAGACTGAGGGGAAGAGAAGAAGGGGACGACAGAGATTGAGGTGGCTGGATGGAGTCACTGAAGCAGGAGGCGTGAGCTTAAATGGACTCCAGAAGATGGTAGAGGACAGGAAAGCCTGGAGGAACGTTGTCCATGGGGTCGCGATGGGTTGGACATGACCCCATGGGGTCGCGATGGGTCGGACACAACTAACAACAACAATGATATAACCTTGCAAAGCTTAGTCAAAGATGCTTTTTCTAAAAAGCAACTGGACTTTGTTGGTTTTTTTTTTATTTTTCCCCTTGAAAACGTTTCATTTCTCATCCAAGAAGTTTCTTCGGTTCCAGAGGAAGGATTTGCATTCTCTGAGAGCCATTGAGGCCTCTTGGGGGTTTATCTGTTCTCAGGGCCACCTGAATCAGAGTGCAAACGGCTGTGGAACTTTCTTGGTGCTGCTGAAAGGACTGCATTATAAGACAAGAGAGGGGTGCTCTCATATCCTCAATTTTCAAGGAAAAAAAGCAAGCAAGCCCAGTTGCCTTTTGAATAGGACTTTTTGGGATCCAACCGTGACAGAGAATTTCCACAGACATTGCTGTTTTAAATAACTTGTTTCTTTTTATTTATAAAACTTGGCCATTGTTTTCCCTAAGGAAGGGGTAACAAACATAAAATTCCACATTGTTCTAAAGCAGTGGTTCTCAACCTTTCTAATGCCGTGACTCCATAATACAGTTCCCCATGTTGTGGTGACCCCCAAATGGGTGTGGCCACCAATAAAAGGGAGTAGGACAGCTAGGGAAAAGGGAAAAAAATGGCGGACCGCGTGGTTTGGTGACCCCCGTGAAATGGTTGTTTGACCTCAAATGGGGTCCCGACCCACAGGTTGAGAACCACTGTTCTAAAGGCTACAAATGGGTGTCTGATTCGCACTAGATAGCCCCATGCTCTACAGTATTATATCCATAAATTGCACTAATCTCCCCGTGAGTTTGGGAATGCAGACTCACTAAATGTTTATGTGACCCTTCCATGATTTCATTTCCAAATTGAATCATTAGGATCCAGTTATTTGTAAAACAAATGAAGCCTCTTCTGTGGTTAGAGTTACTGGTTCCGATGGAAACCGATGCACTTCTGTTGGAACACCAGGTTTTGAAACTGACAAGTATAGAGCTTAAATCAAAATTCGGAGAATTAGGGTTTTTTTTTTTTTTTTTGTTCAGCAAAGCTTCCCTTGAAAGGGATATTTAAGAAATTTAGCAGAGGGGTGCTGTCTTCAAGAGCACTCACTTTAGAACTTGTAAATGATGGAAAACAGATCAGGGCAACCCGACAAGCAGATAAAAAGTATTTTGTCTGACCTTTATGGTCATTAAAAGCTGATAACCTCTGAAAATCAATCTGTGTTATGCAGAGACATGGTTTACTGCTGCTTTCTTTTTTTAAAAAAAAAATAGGTCTATTTAAGATACAATTAGGAAGCTCTAACTTTAATTTTTTTGTTCTCTGAGGTTCCTCAACCACCAGGGAAATGGGCCTGCAAAAAAAAGTACCACAAGCAATCCAGATCTAATTCTGCTAGATGGGATTTTGGAATGAAGATGGGGGTTGGAGTTTTAGACGGGGAAAGATCACGCCTTATGGTAATTCACGTTTGCTTAATCATACTTTACCCACAATATGCTAAGCCAGTGATGGCGAACCTTGGTGGCTTAATTTGCCATGTAAATATGTTCAAATGTTTACCTTAAGCAGCCACTAATCCCCTTGGAAAGCAGGAATGGTCACAAGGCAAGGTTTACCTAGCACAGTGATGGCGAACCTTTTAGAGACCGAGTGCCCAAACTGCAACCCAAAACCCACTTATGGATCATCGGGTGCCGGGTGAGTGTGGCCCATTGGCTGGGTGTGGCCAATTGGGGTGGGTGTGGCTCATTGGGTGGGCATAGCTGCAGTGGTAACGGCAGACTGGGTGGGACTAAAAAATTCAATCAATCAATGCCAACTTTGCGAGATCTTTTTTTTTCCCCGCGAGAAGTTGAAATTGACTGATTGATTGAACCTTTTTTTTTTGCACGTGGCGGTGGAGGCCTAAAGCGAAAAGATTTTATAAAACCCAGCTGAAGGCCTAGGACTGGGGCGACGGCCCGCGTGCCCACAGAGAGGGCTCTGAGTGCCGCCTCTGGCACCCGTGCCATAGGTTCGCCACCACTGTGCTAAGTCATGTTTTGTCAATTATAATGGGTGACTTCACACATCAGGTAAACCCAAGGATATTCAGATTGACTTTATGGCATAGTTTGATGTGGAAACATTGCCATTTAATGGTTTTTCATAAATTGATGTTTTCCTATCAGTATGAAAAGGTTTCCTATGCTAGAATTGCCGTGGATTCTTCTATTCTGACCATGCCTTGTCCATGTTAGCAGTTCTGACAATGGTTATGCAAAAAAGGAAAGGACTATTTGTTTAAAAATACTTCTTTCCTATTTTGGACATGACTTAAAATAAGTCTTATAAGTAGAGAAAAACCTTCAAAAATACATGGGAAAAAGGTTGAGAAAGTAGGCAGAGGACCCCATGGACAACGTTCCTCCAGGCCTTCCTGTCCTCTACCATCTTCTGGAGTCCATTTAAGCTTCAGTGACTCCATCCAGCCGCCTCATTCTCTGTCGTCCCCTTCTTCTATTGCCCTCAATCTTTCCCAGCATTAGGCTGTTCTCCAGTGAGTCCTTCCTTCTCATTAGGTGGCCAAAGTACTTGAATAAACATCAGTATCTTTCTTTAAAAAAAATATGCCAATGGTGCTTTCTTTTCCTTAAAGTACAGCTGTGCAGTTATTCTGAAGTTTAGGAAAAAGCTCATAAAGTGAAAGATTAAATGAACAAGTGAATAGCTAATTAGCTATATGAGTTTCTTTCTATCTCTGGAACCAATAGCTGTTGCTGTCAAAGTTCACAGCAATGGCCAGCTTGACCCTGAAAATAATGACTCTGCTATTCCATTTCTTAATTTATGAGCCATTCTCCTTACAAGTAAATTCATAAATGGTATATTTGAATAGGAAATGATATTTGCTCCCCCCCCAAATGATTTAAATGATAGCTAAGTTCCAGAGAATTAGCGAGAGTTTCATAATATCAGGCATTGCTCCGATGCCAAAGAACTATGCTAGCATTCATACATTTCTCAATAGTATAAATATTTGCATATATACATACATATGAGTATGCATATTGCATATGCTAAGCAATTTATATATAGCATCCTGGGGAGGGCAGTCTTTAGATTTTTTAAAACCACTTGAGGCAGCGCAAATCTTAAATGCAAGGTAAAGCTCTTTGAAACTTGGTGATGACTTATCAGATAAGCATTTGAATAAATATGAAAAATGAATAAGGATGTTAATGTTTAATGAAAGATGCTTAAGTGATCATCTTGTTCCATGATTCATTTTCTGGATGCTATTCATTCACTTTTAAGAGTTTTAAAAAAGTGTACATTCCTTCCTTAATTTCAATATTTAGATAAGAATCGAAGCATGCCGAAGGAGTATTCTAGGTAGAAATCTTCGGAGATTATAATGATGCCATTATTCTTTGAATATAAAATATTTCTAGGTGTAGTCAGTTTAGTTTCTTTTTAGTCTAATTTTGTACCTTAAATATCTTACCAAAGATTTGATGTTTGCAATATACCTTTTGCAGAGCTAAAGTAGAAACAAGGGATCTTTGGTGCTCTCTGAGCTTGGTTGTTTTTTTTTTTGTTTGTTTGTTTTTTGCAGACGTTTCATTACCCAAACTAGATAACAACATCAGTGCTCTCAGCTTATATTTTAGTGGCTTGTCCTGGTTGCATAAGAACAGTGGTGGCGAACCTATGGCACATGTGCCAGAGGCGGCACTTGGAGCCCTCTCTGTGGGCACACGCGCCCCATCCCCGCCTCCCCCCACTCCCCCCTCCTCACCAGCAGCCCTTCTGGATGATAGTCACCCCCGGGCACGGCCCGCATGGAGCAGCGCAGCCAAGCACATGGCAGCAGGGACAAGACTCCACCCTCACGCCCCATCACACATAGATGATGCTGCGGGGCGCGGGCGGAGGGGATGGCTGCCATGACGCTGCTGGGCCACCTGGGCAATCTGATATAGCGGGTTGTTGAGGCAGTGGATGGTCCTGCGGGCAGGTGGGATGGGGGCATAATGGGGGCAGGGCGGGGAGATGGAGCAGGGGCAGGGGCAGAGCAGGCGGGACGGATTTGGGGCTCTCGGTCTCTAAAAGGTTCGCCATCACTGCATTGGAATATTAACTGAGATCAAACCCCACTCTTTACTAGCACTGACGATGTTACTTAGCTTGGATAATGAAACTTCTGCAAGAAAACAGCCAAGCTCAGAGAGCACCAAGGACCCCTCATTTCAACCCTGAGTTACAAATATTCTCCTTTATTGGTAAAGTAGACACCGCCTGGCAAAAAGGGCACTGTTGTTGAGGTATTCCAATATACATTTTACTGATTTCCACACAGACACAGACATTCGTACACAAAATACATTTGGCAAATCTCTCCTTGAAGTGAAAGGCTATTGTGGATATATGTACAGCGCCTATAA